TAGTCAAAAAATCTTAATTATCTACATTGAAAATGTCTCCACTTTATTATCGTGGGTTTCCAATTCTTAACAGGTCAGAATCTGTATACAGTTCCACCGGTCACCCCCTCAACCCAAAAAGACACTTTTTCTCCGATTAAAAATTTCGTTTCTATTGTTCTAAAAAAAATTTTCCCTTTCTCCAAATTGATAATGAGTCTTTCACGCAAAAGTAGGCCAGATGCTTTGACCGACATTCTTATCAATCGCCAATACACCGTCATCAAGCCTGGTCCTTTTCTCTCTCTAAATGACTTTTCATTTCAAATAACAATTCCCTATTGTCTTTTTTAAAATTCGGCCAACATGTTGGCCAAGATATCTTTCTGACACCTGTTTTTCCTTATGACCGGGTTATGCATCATCCACTTCTCTTTCCATTTTTTTTTTTCTTCCTCTTTCTTTTTCTTTTTTCTTTTAGGATCGTCTAAGTACAACTTAGTGAATTATTTTCAACTCAATTATTCTTCGTCTAAGAAAAAATTAACAACCTGTTTAATAAACCGAGTAAAAAAAAATTAAATCATATTTCTATGAGTATTTCTAATAATGCAAGGTGCCACACATCTAGCCATTTCAACCGTAAAATGATGAGACCTCACCACCAATCTAGTACTGCGCTTAAATTCATAAAGCCTTGGTATCATAGAGGAAAATTCAGCGGAACAATTACAATTAATTTTTTTTTATAGAAAAGGCAAGCTACGTTGCGCTGGTGGGAAAGTGATATAAACTGAGATGCCAGGTCAAGACCATTACTTTTCCAGATTCTACAGGATATTATCCAGAATTTCTAAAGATATAACAGAAGCACCAAATGCGGCAGCAATATTCAACGCCTATATATATATATATATATATATATATATATATATATATATATATATATATATATATATATATATATCGAATCTTAAGCATTGATAAGTCTACAATTTATTTATACATTTATACACGTGCACTGGTGCTGTTGACATACATTTAGATATTCCTGATAAAACACAAAGAAGAATCTGCACTGTTATTGGGCCTGACCTGGCATCTCGCCTCCAGTCATTTTCCCAACACCGCAACTCCCCGATGTCTTTTTCTGGAAATATTTTCATAGCAATTATTCTGATGAGCTTTTCACTTTGGTACATAGATTTTGTGAATTTAAGTGCAGCACTTGATTGGCAGCAAGATCTCATCATTTTACAGTTAAAATGGCTAGATGAAACCGTATGTTGTATGCTAAAAGTTCTCGCACTTCGCGTTTGTGGAACACTCTTCTATCTTCTTACTTTGCAGTCAATCATTGCCTTGCTTGGGTGGAAATAAGTAATACATATATATATATATATATATATATATATATATATTTCTCACGCTTTCTGTTCAGCTTTTGCTTCTCCATCTCTTTCCTTTCCTACCTCTTTTCCTCCTTTCTCTTTCGCTGCCGGTTCGCAGACAGTACTGTTTCGCTCTTCGGTGCGACTAGACATCCGAATGCCTCAAGCCAGGATCGAAACTCCACCGACTTGCTGTCAGTCAGATTTTCGACTATTGAGCTATCTTCATTCGACAGAATGAGGCACCTAAATCTAGCGTATTGATTTTTTAAGAATGTAAACAAATTCTAATATCCGTCCGAATTTTCAAGCAATTACCTGAAAAACCGTAAATATTGCTATATGTATGTAAGTGTATAATAATTCTAGTTTGTCTATATGGGATTCATATTATAATGTATATTCGAAGTGTGTGTGTGTGTGTGTGTGTGCGTGTGTGTGTGTGTGCGTGTGTGTGTGTGTGTGTTGAGTAGACATTATGTTTCTAGTTTTTTCGCATGTTGATTCACTAACGTTTTTACGTACATACCGTTTCTTTTAGATAAATATACATTAGATATTTTTAAGAATTGATTCAATGAAGAATGTTGCATAATGTTTTTGACGTGCGTTTATAGTTGGTAATATTGTTATTAGTAAGCGCTCTAAGTACTTTCTTCATAAAGAATTTTGTGGCTTTAGTAAAATCAAAGATATGGTCAGTTTGTTCCTGTGTATTACGAGAAAGTTTAGATGGTTTTGTAAATGTAAATCTCGTTAATGTTCGTAGAGATAGGCTTTTAGGCCTCGTGATGTCCCTCCGACATAAATTCTTTTACATTGTAAACAATTTATTTGATAAATACCAGCATCTGGTGTTAGATTTATTTTCCTTCCAAATTATATCTCCAATTGTCTTGGACATAACGGTAAAGACCATAGGATTAGGAATAACTAATTTATTTACAAGTTTAGTAGAAATAGTATTAAAGAGTAAGATTATGAACGCCACAGATTATGCTAACTGCATGAAACTTATATCTTTGTGCGTGTAATTTATTTACTTTTATATTGTTTCTAATTATTTTCTATAAGGTTATGTTATATCAAAAGCTCACCTGCCTGATTTTTTTTTTATTAGGGTGGCTTTAGTAAAATTATGTCTTGTGGTTTTCCTTTTTCGCTGTCTTTTCTCCTCATCATCTATCGCTGTTTTCTTAGCACCTTTCTGCTTTTCAAAAAACAGAAGTGCTGAAGATCGGCCACTGATACTACATTCTGATCCGATATACGAGCAAGCAGATTACTATATCGATTAGTAAAAATTAGGAAATTCATTCATTTTATTTTTATATCTTTTTCAAATTCTATATACTTAATTTTTAAAATATTTCTCTTCTTAATATATTTAAATTATGACCATTCAGTTTTCTCATAACTCTTAATGCAATATCTCGACGTAGACCTGTAATTCTTTTTTCTTTATTATCTCATATTTTTTATATGTAAATTGAAATCTATTTACCTTTTTCTGATCCATTATATCACCCCAAGGTAACATTAAACTTTTCTATTTCTATCCTTTTTTTTAAATGATATCGATCTTTACAAAGTTATAAATTTTTGTTCATATTCATCTATCATTTGCCATAGTCAATACATTATTAAATATTTTTCTCTGACAGAAATCAGTTATATTGAATTGTAAAAAAAAATCATATTTTTTTCCAATATGCTACGAAAGAAATTTTATTATCTTTTTTTATTTTTTCATTGGTTATTCCAATTTCTAGTTTTTATTTATCATTCTTTGTTCTTATATTTTCAGTTTTGCATCTAAATACGTTTATTAGTCTACATGGGCGTTGGTTTTAAAATTATCCTTAGGGTCTTTAATTTTGATGTATGCTTCTGTTCTCTTCAGTACAACAATTCTATTCTCTAAATTCAGTTTAGTTGCTATTTCTTTAGCTTCTGAATTAATTCCATTTACTACGATGTTTCACGTTGTTTTTTTTAAATCGTTTTGTGATATTGTCATGAAGTAATTCTTAAATCGTCTTCATTTCCTTTTATGAAATTCTTTTGTTATATCCACGTGTATTAATATTTCCTTCAAATATTTTATTTTGCTTACATTCTGTTTGAGCTTCCTCTAAAATTTATCCATATATTTTGTTATACTTTACTGTTAATACTGTTGTTAGTACGGTGTTCATCAGGTGTTTCTCAAATCCTTGAAATGATTTTATTTGTGAAGGGCATTTCTTGTCGTGTATCTAGAATTTTCAATAAAACCTTGCTCTTCATTCTCATTTTTTCAAGTAGAATTTTCACTCAATCCAAGGCTTAAGAATGTAGTGTTATATGAGCGTAAGAAAGGGCAAGAAGTGAAATCAATCGAGCTATAAAGGAAAGATAACTCTAGGCTAAAAGAGATCAATATTGTTATGATTGGCAAAATATAAGTGGAGGAAAAAGACTTTAGAAGTAACCGGAAGCCCAATTTTAAACAGGAAACAAGGGATAAAACTTCGCTCCTGCTTAACAATACGAGAGGAGTTTGTTCACTCGGGATTCGTATATTTATTTTTTATAGCTTTTTCAAATTCTATATACATAATTTTAAAAATATTTCTTTTCTTATATCTAAATTATGACCATTCAGTTATTTCATAACTGTTATCTCTACAGTATCTCTACATAGACCTGTGATTCTTTTCTTTATTATTCTCATACTTTTAATATTAAATTGATATTTTATTTTTCCCGTGTTACTTTCTAACATTATGAGAAATATTATTTTTTTTTTAAAATGTCGTTATTTTTTCCAATCAAATTTGCATGGAATGATAAAACTGACGTTTAAAACACACTTAATTTTATTTTCTCCCTCACAACCCATATATATATATATATATATATATATATATATATATATATATATATATATATATATATATATATATATATATATATAACACTTTCCTGTAATATATATATAACACTTTAAACGTTATTTTAGTGGATACTCATATTTGAGATGTCCTGTTTATTATAAACACTATTTTTACTACTGACCTGAATATTACAGTGATCATATTAAAGGAAAGTGATAAGGACGCTCTTCGTAGCCGAGTTGATTAAACGACGGTTTCTCCTGCAAAAGGGGCGCAGGTTCGTATCCTGCTGGAGTTTGCATTTTTATTAATAAGCTTCACTTTGTCTTTTCTACAAATAATTGTATGCCAATTGTTCTAATAAGCCCTTCGTGATTCGACTGTATTTACGCGTGCTTCTAGATTGGCAAGTAGGTCACGCCGTTTTACTCTTGAACTAGTTCCGTGTAGCCACCAGTTCTATTCTAATAGTTTCTTTTCTTGCCTGTGGAACTCTATTCTGATTTTTTCTTTCCTTTAAACTACGATATTCATAAATTTAATTGTAACGTCAATCGCCATCTTATATCTTCTTAAATCCTGTTTCTTTATTTTTCTTTTTTTCTCACTAAAGTCTTTTCATTCTCTTTCACTCTCTGCACTTCTGAGCCTTTCCATGACATTATCAATTTGCTTGCGATGAAATGGTTAAAAAAATAAAAGGTGAGTAAAAGAAGATATGTATATCTATATTAGAGATTGTTCAGTAAACTATTTCTAAGAAATAAATAAATAAAGAAAGAAAGAAAGAAAGAAAGAAAGAAAGAAAGAAAGAAAGAAAGACTATACTTAAAGAAACTATGACTGAAAGAAAAGAAAAATTATAAAAGAAAGAAAGACTATATCTAACAGAAAGAAAATATGTCTAAAGAAAAGAAAATTGACAAAAAGAAGAATGAAAGCAAGCAAAAAAAGATAAAAGAAAATACTATATATATAAGAAAGAAACTATGTCTGGAAGAAAGAAAGACACAAAGAAACCATGCCTATATCTAAAAAAAAGAAAGTACGTCTAAAAGAAAAATTATGAAAGAAAAAAAAAAAGAAAGACTATAGCTAAAAGAAAGTAACTATGTTTAAAAGAACAGAAAGAAAGAAAAAAGAAAAAGAAAGTAAAAATAGAAAGAAATAAAGAATGAAAATATTCAGTAAAGTACAAATAGATATTTGGCATATGAATACTGTTCATTCTTTTTTATTATTTTCTTCTTTTGGCTCGATTTCCTTTACCGTATCTCGTATTAACCTCCATATTGTTCTGCTTTTACGTCAGCCAATCAAAACTCTCCACTTGGATGCATTCGGAATTCATTCTCTCTCCATTCCGTTGCAATAATTTCAAATGGAACGTTAATCAGATAATCTATAGTGTTGTCAATGACGTGAACACTATTGAGTTGTCTATTTTTATGGCGCCTTTTATAACCAAAAGATTGGCTTTCTTTTCTCCTATTCCTTTGAATAGTTTACCCAATTTATATTTCCGTTTCTCTCTGCGTTCAGAAATGTTGGAGAGAGAAACTCTCATCTCTTTTTCTGTTCTACGCTGGGAATATAACTTAGCTTCTTTACTTAGCCGTGTTTAGTAAAATCCACTTTCATTTTCTACAGGAAATTAATTGGTTCCCTAGATTGCTGTATACCCATTTAGAGACAATTCTGTGTTAAAATGGGTAGCGTATGTAATGCGAAAAGAAAATAATAGAAAACGTGGACCTTTGTGCCCGAAAAAAACGGATTTGCAAACGGACGCTATTATTTTAACTACCCTAAGTAATAAATGATTGTGTTTATACATCCTCGCATATATCTAAAGAATATATATAAACTGTACATACATTCAAAAAACATAACATCTCTATCTATAAAAGGCAGGATGTGTGCGTGCGTGTGTGTGTGTAACGAATGCACGGCAGCAATTTTCGACGGATGCACCAAAATTTACATGCACATGATCCAAGTTAGCGGGAAGGCCAAGACCAACTTTGCATTTCCCAACTCCCATCGATAGTGGAAATAATCAATTTTTTCATGCTTCTACGGCAATTTTTATGTAGTTTGCAGCCATTTTCTACTGGCCAGAGTGAGAGCCTATAGCTGGCTGCCACGAATAGGCAGGAAGATTCTATTGGCCAGCGTAAGAGCCAACAGCTGACTGACACGAATGTTAACTAGCATGTTAGCATGCAAAAAAATCGATAGCTACATTCGTCACAAGTGGGAAAAATTTAAATCTCCAATTGGCTCATTCGCTTGATTAAATTCAACTTTGATTCTGGTTCCGCAGAACTGGGTTGGGTGTGAAAAAGTATTTGTTGTTAACATTCTTTTTTTCATTCAGATTTTCCAGTTACGAGTCCTTTTTTAAAGCTGATCGTTTTTTGTTCATTTTGTTTAGTTCTTTTTTTCGTAACAGATTTAATGTTTAGTATAGAGCTTAGAGAAAATTCGCAGTGTGAGATAGGCAAGAAGTAAGGCATGTAGCAACATCAGCACGGAAAAGGGCACTTCTTCGAAGGCAAAGAAGGGCAAAAATATCTTAAGTCATGTTATAGCGATTGCTGTATGAGTCGTACGATTTTTGAATCAAGCACGGGCAACCCCGGGCCATGCTGCTAGTCATATATATACTTATATACACATTTAAGTCAGTTATAAAGCCATACATATATACACACCCTACTTATATAAAAGAAATAGCATGATACATGAAATGTATATTGTAACTAATTTGTGTTACTAAATGGGGTTATTTATGCACGTAAGAAGGCGAAGTAAGTGCAAATAATGAGGATATATATAAGTAATAGATGACCTTGGACTTGAACAAGTTCAGATTGTAATGATCGGCGAAGCATCTAAAGTGGGCGGTACCGTCCTCCCTGGAGGGGGTGGAACGAGGGGATCTTGAGAAAAAAGTGGGCAGCCAGGGTCACATCTGAACCATAATATACACCACGCACACAAACATTGTCCCTAAAGTGTATCCAGCCTTCACTTTACAGTATATTCCATTTATATAACAATTGTTATGGGAAGTACTGTAATACTTATTTGACATGTAATACTAGCACTAAAACCTAAGCAGATTATTAAGCGACAGAAAGAATTATTGGAAATGGTAGCGGATGCTGAACAAATTCCTCAAAGATGAAGAAGAGACTCAAAGCAGCAGACATGTGGTTCTACAGAAGAATACTAAGGATAACATGGGCCGTACATGTGAGCAACGACGAGGTTTAGGAGAGAATAGAAACAAAAAAGAAACTTATACTTAACACCAGGAAGAGACAGATGAGGTTTCTATGTCATGTAATGAGGAAGGATGGCTTGGAAAATTACAGGACGGAGAAAAGCAATGCGTGGCATACTTAATGGGCTTGAGCAAATGAATGGCAGAGCAGGGTTTGGGAGAAATAATAAAAAGACAGTTTCAAGGTTCAGGAAGATGTGGAGGGCCGTGATCGCTTACGTCCTGAAGGGACACCGTACATAAAAGAAGAAAAATAGTAGCACCAAGAAAGTTCAATCAAATGTATATATTGAGGGGGCGTTGGTGTTGTGTTTTTGCTACGCAAGAGGGCGGCAACCCGAAAAAGTTTGGGAACCACGAGGTTAAACGATCGAAAACAGAAAACAATGATTTGAACTGGAGCCCGGGTAAGATTCAAAAAAACTAGTCAGCATTTTTTTAAATTATATTACCAGCAATACATTTTTTTAAATTATATTACCAGCAATACATTTTTGAAGAAAAAATATTACAAGGAAAAAAAACTAGTCAGCATTAAATGACCTATTGAGGTTGAAATGCCGTAAAACAAACCAAACCAAATAAATAAAAAATGGTGATATCGTGAAGAAGAAGAAGAAGAAGAAGAAGAAGAAGAAGAAGAAGAAGAAGAAGAAGAAGACGAAGACATTGGATTAAAGAAAGAAGAGGAAAATTGTGAGAAAATTGACCGATTAGGCCAAAGAGGAAAATGGAGAGAGACGGTTTTAGTTTGGTTTGGTTTTGTTTGGCTTGGTTTACGGCATATCAACATCAATGCGTTATTTAATGCCGACAAGATTTTTATTGCTAGTAATAATTTTTTTCAAAAATATATTTCTGTTAATATATATATATATATATATATATATATATATATATATATATATATATATATATACCTATCTCTCTCTATATATATATATATATATATATATGTGTGTGTGTGTGTGTGTGTGTGTGTGTGTGTGTGTGTGTGTGTGTGTGTGTGTGTGTGTGTGTGTGTTTTGCATAAATGTATTGCTGATTCGGTTTGTTTTGTTTTACGACATGCCAACCTCAATGGATTATTTAATGCCGACAATTTTTTTTTATGGTAATATTTTTTTCAAAAATGTATTACTGGTAATATTTTTTTTCAAAATGTATTGTTGATAATATTTTTCAAAAATTTATTACTGGTAACAAAGTATTGCTGGTAATATTTTTTTCTTCCAAACATTTATTGCTGGTAATAACTTTTAAAAAAAGTATTTCTGGTATTAAAAGCTATTTTTACACTTTCATAGTGTTTTGGCCCCAGTTTTGTGAAAAACTATTTGCCCATAGTTGGGACCCTAGCAGGTGCTACCAGCCGGGTCAGGGTGGACCTGGGAACACCAGCAATTAAGAGGTGGTTCCACGTTTCTCAAAACCTTCTGATCAGAGGCCTTGCTGCTGGATGTAGTTTATTATCTTACCCAGGACACGGGTGTGGCTTTTCGTCATACGGGAAGAGAGACAGTCTCAAAAGAATGGAGGAGGTGGAGAGTCGGAAAAGGAAAAGGAAACGATTTTAACGGACGTGTTATAAAGAAAATGAATAAAAAGAAGAGAACAGACAAGAATTTGGTGCAATAAATACGAAAGGAAGAAAGAGAAAAGGAGAAAAAGGAAAGAAGAAAAAAGAACGATTGTGAGAATACGACATAAAAGTCAAGAAATCGAACTGGAGCCCGGGTAAGATTAGAATAAAATTTCAGGATTCTGAGAATGATCTATTACGCCCACATACATTCTCTACCCAGTTACCTTCTTCCTTGATCATGTATCTTCGCACTAGTCACCTGCGGGCGAAACGAAGTAACTCACTATGGATTCATAACTTGATTTCCAAGATGAAATCTCTATTTTGTCCGGTGGCAAATCGCCGGGGAAAATGCGGAGCATTGTTGTTTTCCCTTGTTTAGGTAGCGATTAGATTTTTACGATCTTGACAACATATTTTGCCTGTAAGCACATATGGTAATGGCTTAGTGGTAATGTCATGGTTACTTATTTGGAGGTTCACAGTTCAAGAATGCTTACGTCCATATCACGTTGAAACCCCGGTTATCGTCTAACCACCGAAGTTAAGCAACGTCATGCTTGGCCACTACCTTAAGATAACTGCTGGAAGAATTCCAATTGCTGTAATGTGTCGATTACAAGTCGAGTTGATTACATTCGCTTACGCGTAAATACACATGGGAAAGGCATGAATCCATCGTCCCAATAAATTATTAACATTCACTCACAAAAAAAAAAAAACGTCCTGGGTATGACAATAAACTACATCCGTGTCCAGGGTAAGACGATAAACTACGTCCAACAGTAAGGCCTCTGATCAGGAGGCTTTGAGGAGTGTTGAACCACCTCTTAATTGTTGGTGACCTGGGGTCGTAGGACCTGCTAGGGTCCCAGCTATGGGCAAATAGTCAACCACAAAACTAGGGTCAAAACACTATGAAAGTGTAAAAATAGATTTTAATACCAGAAATACTTTTTTGAAGAAAAACTATTACCAGCAATACGTTTTTGAAAAACAAATATTACCAGGAATACATTTTTTTAAATTATATTACCAGCAATACATTTTTGAAGAAAAAATATTACCAGGAAAAAAAACTAGTCAGCATTAAATGACCTATTGAGGTTGAAATGCCGTAAAACAAACCAAACCAAAACACAATAAAACGAGAATTATTCTTACAACCCCCAAATATTTTCTGTCTTTAAATAACCTACAAAAGGTTGATAAGCCGTAAAAAACAAATCAGTATGACATCTCAAGATGCCAAGTCGTCGACGCCCTGAATATATGTTGTTTGGGAATTAAAAAAAATGAAATCCTTAAGGGAATAAGTGTGATTCGCTACACTGTACGTGGCATTCCATAAAGGTTAAAACTGTTTGAATTAAGGAATGTAGTTCCTCTGAACACTTTCCATGGAAACATCGATAGAGAAGCGAGAAGCTTCCGACGTTTCTTCTGTGAGAAAAGGGATTCTTGAGTGGAGCCGATTTTTCATTTTGTCGAGACTGGAAAATAAAGAGTGGGTAGCTCCTGCCCATATATATGACAACAGTATTCATTTTTCGGTCCTGCCCATATATATGACAACAGTATTCCATTTTTCGGTCCTGCCCATATATATGACAACAGTATTCATTTTTCGGTTTTCCTCAACTCTACCTGTAAAGGTAGAGTTGAGGAAAACGAGTCATGTACTTAATGGGACGGTACGGGAACTTTTAATCAATTTGTACATTTCTTCATAATAATAATAATGTTTAGATGATTTTCTTTTACGGAAATTCGTATCCGCCAAAAGCGATCTGCAAAAACTTACGGATAAAATTTGTAAACCCAATTCCACGACAAACGTTCACTGGTGAGGCAACACCAACGATTAATAAAGAACGTAATAAAACATTCTTTGTCTGGGACTTTAAATCAAATTGATATTAATAAAAATATTGCTACACACACGCGCTCGCTCACGCTCACACACACAAACAAATACACACACACACACACACACACACACATATATATATATATATATATATATATATATATATATATATATACTAGCAGCATGGCCCGGCGTTGCCCGTGCTTGATTCAAAAATCGTACGACTCATACAGCAATCGCTATCACTCGACTTAAAATATTTTTGCCCTTCCTTGCCTTTAAAGGAGTGCCCTTTGCCGTGCTAATGTTGCTACATGCCTTATTTCTTGCCTATCTCACACTTCCAATTTTTTCTAAACCAAAACTTAACCAGGGGGTTCACAGGAAAACGCCCCGTTGTGATGAAGAGGGCTTAAAAAAGGGACTCAAGGATAGCATCTTTCACACGAACCACGCTCGCTACTTTCACCCACCTTTCGTTGAAATCTGTCGACGCTAAACGCTTTCTATCAGTTCTGATCTGCACGATGCTGAAAGAATTCGATCAGAGACTGATGAGAATAGCGTTTGTGTCGCAAGATTCCCTCGTCATCTAGATCATCATTCGTTAGAAAGCAACGTTAGCAACACCATTCGCTTCACCCCAGAATACGGAGGCGACACAAAGTCGCACACGTATGCGAGATCGATGAACACTACGAGCCGTCAACTTGCCGACACAGAAAGGGCGTACCTGAAACAATGGTAGGTGTGCAAAGCCGTTTCTTCTAAACTAAGGTGGCACCGGTAATAATCGAACAAATCTACCCAGCCCCATCTGAAGGCTGTGACATTGAGAGATAGCATGTTCCGAATTAATCGCCAGGTAAGCGAAAACTCAGGGTTACTGAACTAATTCGCCGTTGGCGTCCAAGACCAGAAAGAGCGCAGCTCGGCCAGTGAGAAGCCAAGCCGCTCACGGTTCTTCGCGACCCCTTCAAGGCTGTGAAAGGTCACTGGACCGAGGAAAAGCCCTCAAGGCCCCTCGATACTCGTTGAGGAAAGACGACAATTTCTCGGACCTACGATAGAGCTTAGAACAGGAAATGAGAGGAGTGATAGTAAAGCTAAGGAAGGCGTTTCTAACACTCCCCACCAAAATCGAATCCTCTGTCAAAACGCGGCGTAGGAAAGCCAACTCGATGACTCACCAAATGTAGCAACCCCCCCCTCCATGATACAGACGTTAGACACAAGTTTCTTTACGAACCTTCTGCTTGCGCCCACCCCACAAGAGGGTGGACAACAAGCGCTCGATCGCCTTTGTATGGTCCTTGAAAAGAGGAAGCACAGCCAACCGGTAATGGATGAGAGGAAAGACGTAACTGGTACACGCCTCAGCTCTACCCTTCAAGGACAACCTCCTTCCCCAATTTACTTGACTTCCAACTGAGTCACAAGGTCAGTTTTTAACGTGGGGACCCGAGTGTTTCTACGCAGGCCGCTGGTCCAAGCTGGTCATAGCAGTTCATAGCTTGTCCAAGCTACTCAGAACGGGTCCAAGATAGTCATAGCTGGTCTTAGTTGGTCATAGCCTGTTCATGCCGGTCAGATCTCGTCCAAGCCAGTCAGAGCCGTAATACCACCTGAATCAAGGACAGATCCCCGATTTACTTGAAACCGCACTGAGTCAGCTTGTGACACAAGGTCAGTGTTTAACGTGGGAATCTGAGTGTTTCCACTCGGGCCGCTGGTCCAAGCTGGTCTTAGCTGGTCATAGCTTGCGGATCCCTGTGCCAGGTAAATATCTCTTCCCACCCGTTTTAATCTCATGGCTCGCTTTCAGTCCGGTTAGTTTGATTTTCTTTTTCTCTATTACTTTTTTTTTCTTTCTTTTTGTTTTCTTTTTTGCTTTCGCTTTTCAGTGCAATTTTTTCTCTCATTTTCTCGTTTCTTTTTTATTCCCCACGTACATTTTCACAATCAACCACATTCATTCATTCCCCCACTCCGCTACCATATTTATTCCCCTTCCTCCTACTCTTTCTCTTATTTCTTCTTAACGTTTCTAATTGCCTTTCTTCTTTTTTTTTATTTCTCCCTCCAATATTTCTTTCTGGCTTGGTATTTATTCCGTTCGGTCCGTTTGCTCCACCCAACGCCTTTTCATGTCTATGTACAGACCACTTACTCTCCAGACCATCGCTACCACCGTTACCATTAACATTACTACAATAATTGCCACCAAAACTACCGCGATAACGATGCCATTACTGTTCTAAGCCGCCTCCAGATGTCACCCTCGATACTTATTAATCTTTGCCTGCGGACGGAGGGTAATAAAAAAAAAGCACCAAGCCCGAGCCAATAGATGCACACGCCGCCCAAATGTCTGCTCGTTAATTCAGCGACGGTCGGAAAACAAGTGACTTATTTGACATCTATCTATCTATCTATCTATCTATCTATCTATCTATATATATATATATATATATATATATATATATATATGCATATATATATACACACACACACACACACACACACACACATATATATATATATATATATATATATATATATATATATATATATATCCCAAGCAAATTGCTATGTATAAGTCTCTTACTTTTCCTCAATCATATCTATCTAACGATCTAATTATCTATTCAAGTTTTTCTTTCTCTTTCAGTTCCTATATATCTTTCTTTCTTTTTTTTTCACACACACATATATATATATATATGTGTGTATATATATATATATATATATATATATATATATATATATATATTCTCTCAAAAAAAGTACTGTTTATATTCAAGTCTCTTTCATAGTCAGATTCTAAGATTTGGTTTCTTATTCAGTTCCTGTGTATTTACCTATATATATATATATATATATATATATATATATATATATGTCTAAATCTCTCCCTTTTTCAATCAGTATCTATTGATCCAAGTTTTGATTGCTTTGTCATTCACTTCCTATTTATCTCTATTTATTAATATCCAAGTCTTTTCTTTTCTCAGTATCTATCTATCTTTCTTTCTTTTTTCTCAGTTCATTCCTTTTATCTACCTGTATAAGATATATAGATGACACAGTTTTGATAGCAGATACAGAAAGGAATCAATAACACTCCTAGAGAAGGTGGTGAAGAAAAGCGAGAAGAAAGGACAAAACATCAATTGTAAGAAAATTGAATGCATGGTTTTCAGAAAAAAGGATCAGCCCAACATGCAAATTAGAAATTGGAGATACCAAAATCAGCCAAGTACAACAATTAAAGAATGTTGTTTTTTCAATGAATTCCAAAAGCGCATTGGGTCAGCGAAAGATGCATTCCAAAAGCTAAGCTGAGCATTCAGTAAGTTATGTGCCATGCGTGATACACGCTTAGGCGATCATGTATCTTTCGATACATCACGGACGAGGCAGTAGGTTGCTATTTCTTTCTGCAGTAGACCAGATGCCATCCAGGTCTGTCTTCCTATTTAGCTTTGAGAAGAGGATTCATACTTTTCCCAAGGGTATTAACATGTGACTGTAATGGATTCGTCTGGAATTCGAACTCGGCTCTCTGATTCTTCAATCCAAGCCGCTATCCATTACACTACCATTACATCCTCCTCACTCTACCGTATTAAAAAACAGAAATATTTCGTTAGAAGCACAGAAAAGTGTACTTAACTGCTAATATCTGTCATTTCATATGGAAAATCTCATCATTGATGAAGAAGAGACTTAAAGCAACAGACATGTGGTTCTCCAGATGGATGCTGAGAATACCATGGACGGAACATTTGAGCAACAACGAAATCAACGGATTTCAAGCTCAACTGAAAACCTGAAAATAATATTTTATGTATTGGTGTGGCCTTGTTAGGGTCAGAAATAAAGACACACAGAGAGGAATTGAGTTAAACAAATATATTAACAGAAACAGTAATACGAACATATACAAACGAGAGTGTTACAGCAAGAATGTTCGGTCCGACCTCTCCAAAAGGCAGTACCTGCTCCTATTTATAGCTGGGAGACTCCATGCGTGCGTGGGTAAATTACCATATATATATATATATATATATATATATATATATATATATATATATATATATACTGACTGTCCTGTCGAATTCAACGTATGAGGGTCCAGCAGATCATATATATATATATATATATATATATATATATATATATATATATATATATATATATATATATAATTAGAAAAATTTCAAAGAAAAACCTCATAATTGAATTCAAATGTAAGTTTTTTTTTTGAATTTTTTTAATTATATATATATATATATATATATATATATATATATATATATATATATATATATATTGTGGTCTTGTTAGCGCCAGAAATAAAGACACAAAGAGAGTAATTGAGTTAAACAAATTATATTAACAGAAACAGTAATACAAACATATATAAATGAGAGTGTTACAGCAAGAATGTTCATTTCCGACTGCCAGAGTTGACTGCTGGAAACTTCCCTCTTTAAAAGACAGTACCTGCTCCTATTCTTATCATTGAGAGGCCATGCGTGCGTGGATAAATTACCATAATATGTATGTAAGAGTATAATAATTATAGTTTGCCTATGTGGGATTCAGATGATAATTTATATTCGTAAGTTTGTGTGTTTAGTACATATTTTGTTTGGTGTTTTTGGGGTTTTTTTTGTTCATTTGGGAGAGTTTTTACGTACATACCGTTTGTTTTTGATAAACATACGTTCGATTCTTAAAAATCTGCAAAACTAGTGAGCAAAAGGTGCATGTTATGAGGATAAGTAGGATAGAAAACGAGTGGCTCTAAACTGAAAGAGGTGATCGCAATAATCGCGAAACCGTCCCGTCGGGAGTTTCTTCTACAATATAACAATTCCGGGGTAGAATCAGTCAGAGTAGAACTTTCTCTTTATCAATGAAATGCAAAGGGTATGAGGCTGATGACGATGTACGTGACATGGTGGGTCCTTGATCTGCACTGGTGGAACGAGGGATTGTAGTTTGTCGGAACATATGCCGTGGAAACAGCAATGGAGTATCGAGTGACTAGCAACGTTTCATCCGTGGGGACGAGATTTTAGGGTTAGAGATATTTCATCCGCCACAAGGCCGTGTAAACATTTTTGAACTCTAGGAAGTGAGGATCGGGCACCACCAATCCAGATACGCCGGAAATACCCATTTTTTGAAAGTTGGGGGTATGGTCTTGTTCTTGTTAAGATAGGGCATGTCAGATTTGTGTTAGTGAAATGTATGTTTCTGTAGCCTATATCTTTATCATTTACATTGGAATATGGATTGTTTCAAGAGATTTTACGTACCCACGATATCGAGTCTAGTACTGGATGAACAAATTAGTAAAAAAATACAAAAAGAAAAAAAAGAAAAACTTGTCACTTTTTACTATTTCCACTCTCTTAGTAGACCAGGTGGTGCATGTTGCATATCAATTGTCAGAGCTAGACGTAGAATCGGCTTCTCAAATTACGTTTAACTTCATACAAATACTCTTGGAAAGGTACGAACCTGTCTCTTCTCCCGTTGCTTTTTGGTACCCTAAGGCAGGCAGTGTTCTATAGACTTGGATGGTAACCAATCACGAGAGACAACTCTGAATCCAAAACTGGTTGAATGTGGGGCTTGTAAATCCACACCGTAAAATCTATTAGCAACTGAAACCAACGAAACAACATTAAGCAAAGTGAGATTGTGTCCCTGTAACCCACAGGGTACAGGCTCAACAGACCAACTGACCAACCTGAACAATCCTGACATTTAAGTAAATATTGCAAATCGAATCGATATAAGTATTTATGCATCTGTGAATCTGGATGGCGTATGAGAGAAAGCAAAAAATCTATCTTCATTGTCAATAGCTAATGTTATGATAAAAGCCAAGATTTTGAATGATAACATTCTCTCCACCTATCTACCTTTCTGTATATCAATCTATCTTTTTGAAATATTGATTTCTGGTCTGTTCATATCTATCTATCTATCTATCTATCTATCTATCTATCTATCTATTTCGGTTCTTATCTGTTATGGGACCTTACCCATAATAACATAATGGACTATTCCATACGTAATAAATACTGCGCCTCAAGAGGAAGCAGGGGGTTCAGTCTGAAGTCTGGAGTGAAGTCCGTCAAGAGTCTGTCAGTCAGTCAGGGCGAGCGAGTCAGTCAGTCAGTCGAGTCAGAGGCAGTCCGAAACAGAGTCGCATTCAGACAATTACTACTAAACCTGATTGTTCGTACTAACACTTTCTACTTCTCTGTATATATTCCTGTTTGTAATATATCTGTGTTATTCCATATACGTGTTCGAGTTCTTCTTTATTGGTTCTACCTTGGACGATCACTCTGGTACAGGGACCTTGGACCATAACATTATCTATCTATCTGCCTCATCCTGTTCATATCTATCTATCTATCTATCTATCTATCTATCTATCTATCTATCTATCTATCTATCTCAGTTTGTTCATATCTATCTATGTATTCTATTACAGAAGCTGGCATACAACATATTATGAACCGTTTCTCATCCTCATGTGCAGCATTTGGTCTTACGATAAGCGTCACAAAAACCAAGGTAATGTTACCCCTACCCCCGGAGAGCCACATATCAAACCCAACATCTTTGTTCATGGAACAAGATTAGGGGTGGTTGAGAGGTTACCTTGATAGCACAATTACAAAAGATGGCTCACTGTGTGCCGAAATCCAGAAAGCTTCTGTGGCCTTCGGAAAGCTGGAAAGAAGAGTATGGACAGCTCGTGACATTACCAACCATACCAAGGTGTATGTGTATAGAGCTTGCGTTCTGACAGCTTATTTATATGACTCCGAAAACTTGGACACTACTCAGCAAATATAAAAATAAATGAGCGTTTTCTGCAGAAAAGGTATGAGACGCATATCGAATTGTCAAATGGGAAAACAGATCTCCTCATACTGATGTCTTAGTCAGAGCCAATTACCAAAGCATAGAGGTTCTTGTAACGTCTTCCCAAATGCGATGGACAGGACGCATAATTCGAATAAAGTATATATAAAGTATAACAATTGTTTTATTGTGTGCTGAGTCTCGGAAGGCGTTCTCGGCACAAACCAAGGTAAAGGTACAATGACTGTATAAAAAAAAAACAACCTAAAAAAGCAGGAGTTTGCCATCAGCAGTTGAGAGTGGATGGCCCTAGATAGAACTGGATGGAGAGGGTAAATAAGAGACGGGTGTCGACTCTTCGAATAATGTTGTCTGGAACACAAACGACTCAAGCGGCGACTTCCAGTGGATGATAACCATGGACTTGACGAGGTATCAAGGGCTGGACATGTGATTTCTGTCAGCGCATACTTCTTTCAATGGCTGGCTAGGTGAATCATGTGAAAAATCACCCTTCACATTCCCCAGACACAGTGTGTCGCAGCCTGCATGCTATGTAACAAGATATGTAAAACCAGCTCCGGACTAAAAAAGGCACATGATGGTGAACAGGAATCAGTCACAGCGGTGTGTATCCATCAAGGTTGTGGCAAGCACATTGTTCATCTGTCACTTGTGTCACGGCTTGGCAAGTCACCTTCAGGTCATGCACGAGAGAGGTGAAAGCTGGTCAGCTAACGTGAAGATGCGGCGGATCATCATCAACATCATCATCATCATCAACATCGTCGTCATGTATCTATTCATCTGTGTAAGCTTGCTTGCTTTTCCACTCAATTCTTTTCTATCAGTTTTATTTCCTTATTTATAAGTTCCTATATATTTTCTCCATCCATCCATCTAGCTTCTTTCTTTCTCTCTTTCTTTCTTCGTACTCAATCAACCTGAAGCTATCCACATCTATCTATCTATCTATCTATCTATCTATCTATCTATCTATCTATCTATCTGTATTTATGGGAATAGTGACATACCCATTATCGTCCATATGCTACAACACTATCTATCTATCTATCTATCTATCTATCTATCTATCTGTATTTATGGGAATAGTGACATACCCATTATCGTCCATATGCTACAACACTATCTATCTATCTATCTATCTGTATTTATGGGAATAGTGACATACCCATTATCGTCCATATGCTACAACACTATCTATCTATCTATCTATCTATCTATCTATCTATCTATCTATCTGTATTTATGGGAATAGTGACATACCCATTATCGTCCATATGCTACAACACTATCTATCTATCTATCTATCTATCTGTCTGTCTGTCTGTTGTAACCTAGGGAAGGTTACCGAATAGAAAAATCAAACGAAGGTTGGTAATGATTGATAATACGTAGGGTAAGAACAATACATATAAGATTCGCCAGCTACGCGTAGAAGAATTAGTCAACTGCTAGAAATGAGTCAAGGGAATTTCACAATGAACCTCTAACTGCAAACCAACATACAGTATTTACTACTGTATTTATGGGAATAGGGACATACCCATTATCGTCCGTATGCTAAAACACTATCTATCTATCTATCTGTCTATTTTTCTTCCTTGTTCCTTTATTCTTTTCCATCAACGCATTCAGTCCTCTGGGAGTCAGTACATGTCTGTATAAAATCGGAGATCAAATAGTTGTATATATATATATATATATATATATATATATATATATATATAAGTGAACATTGAAGTTAACTCACAGAGGCGACAGATTGTTTCATGTTAAACGCAATCGTCAGGCATCTGAGTGTTGATTTCAGTGTTCAGTTTTATATTAAATTTATTTCTGATATTGAGCACTTTAGCCCATAATATATATATATATATATATATATAAGAGTGTGTGTGTGTGTGTGTATTTTGATATTCCAGATTATTTTTTTTTTGCTTCAAGTTCATATATATATATATATATATATATATATATATATATATATATATATATTATGAATAGGAAATAAAATAATAATCCAGAACATGAACATGGAAAAATAAATTTTCAAAAATATTTAACAAAGAAAATCGTTGGTATTTGACAAAGCTTGCATAAATTAAATTTTCCTGCTTGAATAAATCGAAATTATAAATATATATACGAAGTATATGAAGTGTCCACTATAATAAAGTAATATAAATCTGGGATTAAAATTAAATTAATTCCTGATATATATATACATATATATATATATATATATATATATATATATATATATATATATATATATTACTGAAAATATATAGATATATAGATATATATATATATATTTAAATCGTTTTGCTTGTACGTCATTTTAGATGGATACTCATATAAAATAGCGTTTAAGCAAAACAAATTAAAAAATATGTCGAATTTAATCTATTTGATAAAAAATAAACACACACACATACACACAGAGACACACACACATACACACACACATATATATATATATAGACACACACACTTTATATACATATACACACAATCATATATATATATATATATATATATATATATATATATATATATATATATTGTATAGCAGTCGTTCTATTATGAATGTATCGTATAAATATGAAAATAAATGAATTTTCAGTAAATTTTATAGGACTGAGTTTTGGACGATTTCTCCATAGACTCAGTCCTAAAACAAAAATCTAAAAATATTATTAATCAAAATCTCTGTTTGTCATATTTCACGAAATATGCATATATATATATATATATGTGTGTGTGTGTGTGTGTGTGTGTGTGTGTGTGTGTGTGTGTGTGCGTGGGTGCGTGTGTATGCGTGTATCTGGTTGTATAGTGTATGTAATTAACGAGTAGATACAATCAAGCAATTTATATACACTTATATAGGTATATTTTTATGAATAAAACACGCACAGACACAATGAGGTAAACTACATGGCGTCCATAAAATTTGAGATGTACATACATATATACGCATATACTAACGCCATAAAATGAACAGGTGATGTCTACCGAAACAATGCTAACAAAACACCAAAGAATTTAAAAATTGAGAGAACTCTCCATCATTCCAGTTCGCCAGAATTTTGGACTAAGCTCAATAAATAGCGAAACATGTTAAAAAAATGTTTACAAAGGTTTTTATTTATACCAAGGTTTCCCATCGTTTTTTCTTTTTTTATGCCATCGCCCACTTTTACATAGAAAAATGTTACACAGCCCATCTGTATAGTAATTAGGTTTGGTTAAAGTTTGTTACTAGTTCATAAACTAACTTTATGGTATAGTAAAAAATACTGAAGGGAGTTAACAAATAACATTGACTTATGCAGCAACTATTCCTGCTAATAGCGTGTTAAAAAAACGAGCTAAAGCAAAATTGACTATTGAAAGTTGTATACATAATTTAGTTTATTGCCACGTTGAGAGTTATGGCGAATGTTAGCGTTGCAAGTGTTGACGAAAAATTGAACGATTTTTTTCATAATTATTTAATTAAAAACAGTATACGCTAGTAACAACTAATAAAAATTTAGTGAATATTTTTTGTTGTACTTGGTCTCCCTTCATGTGATTTATATCTGAAGAAAATGTTTGAAGAACTATTGGAATGTTAATTGCGCATCTCGAAACTATAGAAAATACCAACATATACGTTGTTTGCGAGAATATTTATATCTTCTATCTTATATATATATATATATATATATATATATATATATATATATTTCAAGAGGATAAAATAAAATCCAGGTAGAGCTCAATGTACAAGACCGTGAAAGAATCATACTTATTATAAAACCCAGGTTGTGTGCGTGTGTCTGTACGTTTATATATTGGATCGGATTTCCTACATTTTTCAACCGATTTCAACAAAACTTCACAGGACTACGTTAAATTACCTTACGGTGGTTCTAATAGCGCCAAAAATTGCAAAGACACAATTGATTTTGCAAGAAATCAAATTGAAAACACGATTAAGAGACATCGCTGTCGCGGGAATGAAACGGGTACAACTCATATCCAGTTATACCTATTATAAAACCCAGGTTGTGTGTGTGCGCGCACGCGCGTGTGTGTGTGTGTGTGTGTGTGTGTGTGTGTGTGTGTGTGTGTGTGTGTGTGTGTTCGTTTATACATGGGATCAGATTTCCTCCATTTTTCAACCGATTTCAACAAAACTTCACTTTTTTTTTTGGCAGGTAGAGTTTCTTATTGTCTTGCACACTTTTTTTCTTTATTTTTACATTCAGAATGCTTTAAAAATTCCATTTACAAGACAATTCTATTCAATCGGTAGACTCATAACGATTGAAATCAATGTTTTTGTTTGAGTTTGGGTTTGACCAATTCGTAAGAAAAAACAAAAAAACAAAAAAAAAACTAATATTTCAAGAGGATAAAATAAAATCCAGGTAGAGATCAATGTACAAGACAGAGAAAGATAATATAAAAGGCTCAAACACTAATATTTCATGGTTGTAATTTATTACGTTGAAATCGTAATCCTGATCCAATTCATCAGATCTACAAAGAAAACAGAAAATATCACTACGGATATAAAAAATTAAATTTAAGTGAGAGTATATGTGTGGGAGTGAGAAACAAGGGTGAGAGGGAAATATATGAAAGATATAGAGAGAGGGTGTAACGAAAGAAAGAAGAACAGGAAAGGCCCTAAGATGAGGGTGGGGAATAAAATTTAAAATAGAGAAGTCTAAATGAGAGAAGTTAAATAACGGTTTAAATGAGTGAGATACAGATAAATTTGAGTTATTATCTGATGCATAATTCAGTACTGATTCGCTGACCTAAAATTAAATAACAGACACCAGAAAAGTGTGGATACATTTGTGGTGACATTAGACACAATAAATGATTATACAATCCAAATTTAAAATCTAGCCAATTGTCACTGCCGATGGATATATGAAAATTTGTCGTCTGATTTGCATTTATTAACCTTATGTATACATGAACAAAGAAAAAGAGAAAGAAAAGAACAAAGGAAAAAGAAAAGGCCAAACTAAAAACGGAGGCATTTATAAGAGAAATGATGTGTAATCAAGAACAATTTGAAAAAGCATGTAATTTTCCCCTACAGATTACAAATTTAACCTCAACATATAATAATATTTAATCCAGTAAAAAACATATATATATATATATATATATATATATATATATATATATATATATATATATATATATATATATGTAAGCAAATATATGGATATAAATCCGACAGTATGAAAGAAAAAATACAGAAAAAACAAAATTCTGAATATGCATTATTAATGTTAAAATAAAGTCGACGTCGGACGTTTCGGTCTATTTAAGACCATCTTCATGGACATTTTCATTTAAACATAATTAACATTATAACTTATAACAATTTAACACAAAAGACGATGGACAACTAATTCAAACAGATAACTGAAATTTTATACAGATCAGCGTTCTGTTTAAATATGATCACGTAGTCGTCACGTGGGCGATGTTGTTAAGACGTATTCGAAGATGATTTCCAAAAATTAAAATATCAAAAAGTCGATTGAAAAATTTCAGTTATCTGTTTGAATTAGTTGGGCTCTTATGTCCATCGTCTTTTGTGTTAAATTGTTATAAGTTATAATGTTAATTAGGTTTAAATGAAAATGTCCATGAAGATGGTCTTAAATAGACCGAAACGTCCGACGTCGACTTTATTTTAACATTAATAATGCATATTCAGAATTTTGTTTGTTTCTGTATTTTTCTTTCATATATATATATATATATATATATATATATATATATATATGTGTGTCTTCTATTTCTGTCGTCTATATACTTTCATATTATATCTTTTCTTCTTTCACACACATACACACTGAAAATTTCATGGCACATCAAAATTGTGCTTATAACTCTGTTATGTTACGGACTTATTGACTTATCTATACTATTTCATAAATAGTCAAATATTATTGATAAGCAATCTTTATTGTATTATCTATAAAATACTATATATATATATATATATATATATATATATATATATATATATATATATATATATATATATATATGCATCAGTATTTATACTCTAAAGACATTTATGTTTTTCTGCCTCCACTGATCATATAAATTATTTTCTAGTTTGCAACGCACACCACTCAGACGCACACGAAACATTGCGCGGCCACAAATATATATTTATTGCTTCACCTTCGCTCTGTTCTTCATTATTTATATTCCGTGGGCTAC